GCAGGAATGTGAACCCAGGGGGCTCCAGGTGGAAGGAACTGCTGGGAACCTGGGATCACAGCTCATCCCCAGCTCCACAGCGCAATCCTGGCCTCGTATTCTGCATTAAGCCTCCAACCTCGAGCCCTCCTCCACATTTCCCTCTTTTACCAGTCCATGACAGCTCCCCCAAGGTGGTCCCATCCACATCCTGCTCCCAGACTCAGAATAAACTGCAAAAAGAAAATCACTCACCCAAAATCTACAGGTTGTGGAATAAAGCAGGACTCGGAGACAGCCAGGGAAGGGTTTGGGATCAGAGCTGACAGACCCCGAGGGAAGCTGGCAGTGGGATGCTCAGCCAGGAACCTGGAATGGCACCAATTTTGTGCCTTTATCAGCCTTGGAGCAGGGAAATCCCTGTGGATAAGCCCAGCTCTGGCCAAGGGCTGTTCCAAGGAGTTGTTCCTGAGCACCTGCTCCGGGCCAGCGGCTCCATGGCTGTGGGAGCAGGAGCAGCATCTCCCTGAGCTGCCAAACACAACCTGTACAGCACCCAGAGCACAAACCCGTCCCACTGGGGCTTCCTCCTCTTCCTCCTCCTCCTCCTCCAGCCGGAGCCATCCCGGTGCCCCCCAGCCCCATCTGCCCATTCCAGCTCCGGAGGAGTTTTCCCAATGAGGCAGAAAAAACCACTTCCAAATCACCTCCAAATCATCCCCCCTCATGGGATTTTTTCCCTCCTCTATCCCCTTAAATTTTTTTGTGCCCTTTCTCACAATTTTGAAAGGAATCCTCCATCAAACCATTTTACTACCCCGACTCTGCCTCTGACAAACCCAGCGCGGAGCCCTGCGCAGAGCAAGGCGAGATTCCCTCCACATCCACCCTCTGCTCCTCATTCTCCCAGGAAAAACCCCTGGTTTTGCTGCCAGCCTGGCTCCACAATCCAGGAGGAGGGACAGCTTCCAGGGGAACACGCTGCCAACAGCTGCTGCCAACTTGCCAGGGCACGGAGCCGCCGGGAAGTGTCACCGGGGCTGGCAACGCCGGCACCAGAACGCTCCACCCCAGAGAGACCTCGGCACCACAGGCTGCAAACGCAGCCTGGCTTCTCCTTAAAAATAAAATAAAGCCCAGGAGGAAGGATCCAGACTCACGCCAGGCTCCTTTCCCTGTGATCCCAGTGCCAGCGCCGTGCCCGTGGCGCAGGAATCCCTTAATGCTTCCCTGCAGCTCTTCCCTGCTCCAGCAGGATCCCTACGAAATAAATCGTGGCTTTGGATGTCTCCTCGCCTCCTGCTCTGCTTCTCCTGCCTCTCCCCTCTCCCTTTTCCCTGATGCCATTCCACTTCCAAACACGTTTTTGTCACGGGCAGCCGGATCACCACAACACATTCCGTGCTGAGCCGTGCCAAGAGCCGTTTAAATTAGGAAAAGTTTGTAAAAAACAAAAACAAACCCTCAAGCAGCGTCTTGGCTGGATTTCATCTCCCAAACACTTTGAGAGGGGGGGAAAGGAAAAAAAAAAAAAAAAAAAAAGGTTAGGAAGTTTTTCAAGCTGTGCCCGGCCCCATCTTGATCTGCAAGTTCTGTTTGACTTGAAAAGGTGCAGCACAAGGAGGTTTTGTAAGAGATAAAATGGGTGCAGGTCCTTGCCCTGAGCTGGCCCAGCAGCCAGTGCTGCTGGTCACAGCCCCACAGCCACTCAGGGGGCTCTGGGGCCACCCCGAGTGTCACCAGGGCCATGTCGCAGCCCCCGGGGCTATTTCCCAGCCAGCTGCTCCCTCTGAGTTTCAATCAGGTGCATCCAGGAGTGGCTCACGGAGGATTTTTACACTTTCCGAGGCAAACACATGGAAATTCCAAGCTCTGAGCGGTTTTATTTTCTCTCTTTTTCCTTCCCTCTCCCGCTACCAGAGCTCATCCCTCTGTGGGGAGATGCCCACGGAGCAGGACCGAGCTCCCCGCCCCGCAGAATCCCCCTGCCCGTGCTGCAGGAGCTGCAAACCAAAGGGGAAGGGACAGGAAATTTCAAGTTCCCACTTCCAGAAGCGGCAGGTGACACCGAGGCGGCACCGGGGTCATTTCGGGAGCAGAGGAAAATCCCAGGGTGGCCCTGGAGGAGGAGGTGGGATCCCCCCCTGCACCCAGAAATGGGGAACAACCCCTGGAGACCCCAAACCCACCTTGCCAGCCCCATCCCAGCGCTCTGCTGGGCTTCAAACCCACGGGGATGAAGGGGAAAAAAACCATCACAACCCTCCCTTCCCAAAATTTAGAGAATTTCCCCAAATCCTTCAGGCTCCCAAATCCCACCAGTGAGGGGAAAGGCAAGGAGCCATAAATGTGTATGAGTTATAAACCCAGGGACCTCCGGGCTTCTCCTCCCGCCTTTCCCCGGTGGGAAGAATGAGCCCGCTGCCGTTGCCCCCCACCTTGCTGCCACAAAGGCAATCCCAACCCCACAACTCTCCCCCTCCCCGCCCGACCGACAAGAAAAGAGAAAAAAGGCTGAGGGGGGGAGTGGGGGGGGAAAAAAAAAAAAAATCAAAGGAGAGAAAACCCTGAAAGCCAGAGCCCCCCGGCCCCTCCCCAGCCCCACAGCGAGACACAAACATCAGCAGACTCAAAGCATCCCCCGAGCCAGCGGCGGAAAAGAAAAGCTCCCGGGCTCTCCGGGCAGCAACTTCACAACTGAGTGCACTCGCATTCCTGCCGGGTTATTAGGAGAGAAAGGCCGAGGGCCCGAGGAGATATTTTAGTGTCACTTGGTTTTATGCATTGCACTGATTTTTGTTGTTGTTGTTGTTTTCTGAATGCTCCCTGCTCTTCCCTTTCCAAAGGGGATGTAAAACCTACGGCTGCCTGGTTTCCAGGCTGGACAGCAGGGCTGGATAGGGATTTCACAGATATTTTGGATATTATCTGTTTCTCCAGCCCCTTCCCCACCTCCCCCAGCAGCAACTTTAATCCGTTTTATTCCACCTCGCTCCGTTTGCTCGGCCTTTCCCCCCTGCCCACCCCTCGCCCCCTGGGCGACACATCCCGGGGTGCAGGGCTTGGAGGGAGGATTTTCCACACTGATCCCGTTCTCCTGCACTTTTCCCCCCCTCCATCAAATCCAACTTTGTGCTGCTTGGCAGTGCCACTTTGGATTTGATATTTTACCTGCCAGCGACGCTCGATCCGGCCGGGAATGGATGCACCCCACACTGAGAATCCCGTTAAAATGGGGCTTTGGGATGGGGGAGATCCACAAAAAAAACCCACCCCCAACAAATAATAAATTAAAATTCTACATGAAAATAAACGGGGAGCAGCTCAAAGCAGCAGGTCCCAGCATTATTTCTGGGAGATCCTGGGAGCAGAAGGCTCTGGGATCTTCTCCACAGCCCCAAATCCCACACCACAAAGGGCAGGAGAAGCCGGAGCCTCCCAGGGCTCCACAGCCCTGACAAAGCTCCCTGCTTTGGCACAGGGAATTCTGCCCCTTCTCCCCCACATTCTCCCCTTTCCCAGCTCGATTTAAGCAACCTGAAGGAGAAAAAAATGAAATAAAAAGGGGGAGAGCAGAGTAATTTTTCCAACCCTGATTATTTCCTCCACCCACCCGCTCCTGGAGCTTGTTACATTTATTTTTGATGGACTTTAAGGTGGGGCGGCAATTAAAAAAAAAAATTACAATCCTTAATTTAGAGTTAAGATTTTGGAAAACCCTGAGACTTTGCTGTGTTTTATTGGAGGATATGGGGAGGCATGAAAGGGAACACATCCCTGCCGACACCCGGGACCGGGTCACGCCGCCTGCGTGAGACACATGTTGGGTTGATTTAACATCAAATCCCTGCTCTCCACGGAACGTATTCCCCGTGTAAATTTTTAACGCACCAGCAGAAATTTGTAAAAGTAAATCCTCCTTCTGGTTTGGGTTAAAAACAACCCAGCCTTTTAATACAGAAACTAATAACAATTTTATTGTCTGCCCCACAGCTTTACGACGCTCGCGGAGAAGTGAGGTCTTAATCCGATGGAAGTTGGGGTGGAGGGTGGGAAAAGGAAAATCTTGGGGTATCAAGTGATGGGGAGGGAAGAGCTGCCTGAAACTAAGGAGCGATCCCAGGCAGGAATTCGGACACGAATTCCTCCAGGACTACATTAAGAGCAGCAGAAAAAAAAAATATAATAATCTCAGCGCAAGTTTTCCGAGCGGGCAGTTCCCAACCACGACTCCCGGCAAAGTGGGGTTGGTGAATTATTCCCTCTTTCTCCTCTGCACATTTTTCATTTGTATTAAAAAGTGCACAGGAGGGGGAGAGGGGGAGACACACGGCCCTTGGCTTGTTTGCGTTTTAAACGGGGAAAGAGAAACCAGCATCGCTCCCAAATGGAAAAAGAAAACCCAATTACGCTCCACTTGTTCTCTCCCATCCACACCTCCGAACGCGCCTGCCAACTCAAACCAGATTTCCTACACCCAAAGAAACATCCAGAGCCATCCGCGGTACTTCCCCAAGTGCCCTTTCCTCCCGGAGAGGGGGAGAGGGGCGAGCAGACAGAGGCGCGCTTGTTTATCCCACGGAGGAGCGGGGAGAGGGAGCCGGGAAGAATAGAAATCCCTGAACTTTGCCAGCGCCGGGAGAGCATCGCAACGACGGCGGGCACCGCGGTGGGAAGGGGATGTTGCTGGAGGCTGATCCAGGGCTCCGGGTGAGCCAGCACACGCTGTCTGCCCGGGATTTTCGGAACTCCCAGAAGACGATGCTCCGTAGTAAAAACTCTTCCCCGACGCGTTATCACTGCCGGTACCATCAGCGGCCGCTGCCGGCAGCGTCCCCGCTGAGCCCCCGCGGCACCGGCTTAGGGAGACCCCCCCCAAATCCTCGGAAAAGCCTCCCCAACCTCTTTCCCCGTCCAAACAAAGGCGCACGGAACCCCCGCAAACTTTACAACCGGGCGAAACCCAGGCGCGGGCGAGCCGCGGGGCAGCCGGCTGCCGCCAGCCCCTCCGGAATCCAAACCTGCGGGGCTTTCTCGGGAATATTCTCCAGCTCCATCCGAAGCCGTGCCTCGTCCTCCTCTCCCTCACCTTGCAGTCTGGGTTAGGGTTTTGGACGCGGCGCTGGATTTTCCCAGGGCGCTGCGGGAGCGACGGCCGGGCTGGCTGCAGGTTGTCGGGGACGGCGGCGGCTGCTTCTCCCAGGAATTGCAAAACTTGGGGCAGACTTACGGATTTCTCTCCAAGGAGGGAATCGCACCCCCCGGGCCCAAGCAGCGGCGGGTCGAGGCTGAGTTAAAATGTGATGGAGGATGGAGGGGGGAAAAAAAGGGGGGGGAAAACCCACCCGAGCCCTCCAGCAGCCGGAATTAAACCAAAACTGCCGGAGAGAAAGGAAAAGATGGGGAGGAAATGGGAAGCACCAACAAAGGGAGCGCTGGGGCGGCTGCAGGGCAGGGGCGGCCGGGCCCCCCCCAACCCCTCTGCGCTGCCCCCTCGGGGGGTGCGGGACCCCCGAAGCGCCGGAGCGGAGGCGGGTCCGGATCCGGCACCGGCAGCGCGGCTGTGCCGGCGGCGGCAGCGCAACTTTCCCGGGGCCCGACCCCCCCCTCGCCGAGGGGGCTGCGACCCCCGCCTCCTCCTCCTCCTCCTCCTCCTCCTCCCGGCTACCCAAACGCCTGGGGGGCGGCGGCGACCCCCGCGCCCGCCCGGAGCCGGGCAGCCCGCACGCACCGGGACCCCCGCGCTGCTGCTCGGGGCGCAGCGGGACCCCCGCGCCCCCCTGGCGAACCCCGATCGCCGACCCCTCGGTGCCCGCCGAGCCCCGGCCCGCCCGCACCCCCGGCTCCCCCAGCGCCGGCCCCGCTCCCTTTGTCCGGGCTCCGTAACAAAACTTCCGAGCGCGGCGCGGCCGAGCGCGGGGCACGGCCCGCCGGGGACAGCGAGGCGACACATGGCGGGGGGACCCTGCCCGCGGCCCCCGCACCTGCCGGGGGGTCCCGCCCCGCTCCCCCCTTCCCCACGGGGGATCACCCGCCGACCCTCCCGCGCCGCTCGCACCCACCTGGTCGCGCCGCTCGCCGGGCTCCGGGGCGGGCATGAGCCGCGCCGCTGCTTCCCCCGCCAGCCCTGCGCAGCCCTCCCCGCACCGGCACCTTCCCCAAACTTCGACGGGGCGGGCGCGGCGGGGCCGGGGCTCAGAGGCGGCGCGGCATGGCCGGGCGGAGGGGAGGGGAGGGGGGCTCCGTGCGGCGGAGCGGGGCCGTGCGGGG